AGACGTCTTATAATGCTATTTCTCTCGTTCTTACGTTTGCGATAGAGGATGGAAGATATCCGCGACTCCCACCACTATTCCCTCTCCAAACGTCCGACGATCTATACCGCTAGCTCTCTTCGCCACTCCGTGCTGCTCATGGCTCACCTACACGCAGCAGTGTATGAGTGACGCGTTATCGTGTGCGAGTCACACGGATATTCGGATGGCATTAACGCCGGTGCGTAATATGTATGTATGGAAAAATGTTGTAGGTTTTTGAGGGGGACCTAAAAGACTACTATTTGTCTGACCTTGGATGGAGGCGTTAAGGTCACGCCAAACTCAATTTGAATTTTTTAAATAAAATATCCTACTCTTTATTGCATATTCTTGTAGTTTATCTTCAGAGCTTTCCAAAACACTATAATAACGTATATTTCATTAAATCCTTTTTGAATAATGAAACTTGAAAGTTACAGTACCGCCGGCATTAGCATTATAAATTGAGCTAATCAGTTGCGCATTTTTGTTCCGTTCTTTTGTTCATTGTTTTTTGAAGATTAAAATATATATGTGTAATTGAAATAAATTTAATTTTTCCACTTATATGTTTGTTTTTTATTAAAATCATAAAATTCCTATTTTGTACCCTGTAGTATTAAAATGAAGCGTCGTAGAGAAAAACATTATTAACAAAATATGTTTGTGTTTTTATGTCCTCTATTTCCCCTCAAAGTTTGTCTAATTTTTTTACATCCTGTATATATATATAATAAATTTTTGTACTAGGAGAAGAATAATTACACTTCTAATCATGCTATCACTCTATAATTAAACATTTTTAAACATAAAAAACGTTTATTAAACATTTTTTATCAGACATCTTGTACAGAATTTACTATTATACATTACATGACATAGACATAGAGATCTTTGCCAATAATCTCAGTAAATCATTATATTGTATTTAATATATCATGATAATCATAAATTTTATTATCGGGAAATATAATCGTTGAAAAGAACATAATATGTGACATATAAATATACATTTGTGTATACATATATATGAATATCATATAAAAAGTAGATATTTGGCACGTTTACAATTTTGATCGTAAAGAATCACGCAATAGTCGGCGTAGTATTTTACCAGACGCGGTCTTTGGTATGCTACTTACAAATTTTACACCACCTCTAAGTCGTTTAGGATTTGACACGCGCTCGTTAACATACTGGACTATATCTCTCTCGCATATATTGGAATTATCTTGCTTTACAATGAAAGCCATTGGCAATTCTCCGGCCTTTTCATCAGGTACGCCAATTACAGCTGCATCTTTCACGTTAGGACACGTTAACAAGACTTCTTCAAGCTCAGCTGGTGGAACTTGATAGCCCTTATATTTGATAAGTTCCTTTATACGATCAACGATGTAAAAGTACCCCTCTTCATCATAGTATCCTACATCTCCTGTATGCAACCAACCATCTTTATCAATTGTCCTTCTAGTAGACTCTTCGTCGTTATAATAGCCTTTCATTATTAGATCTCCCTTGAGACATAATTCCCCTCTACAATTTGGCCCTAAAGTCTTATCTGTCCCAAATTCTCCCAGTGGTATAATTTTTGCTGACGTGGCTGGAGCTAACATAAAACTACCTGGTTTTTCCTTATCACCTGTCGAAAACAGCACACCTAGAGTAGTCTCTGTTAATCCGTAACCCTCTCTAATTTCAGGAATATTCAATCGCTTGGTCACAGCCATGTGAATTTCCGTTGACAAAGGGGCTGCTCCGCACACTATTGCCTTGATAGATGATAAATCATATTTATCTACGAGTGGGTGTTTTGCCAGGAACACCATAAGCGGCGGCACCAATGTCAGATTTTCGATTCTATATTTCTCTATACATTGTAGAAATAATTCCTCTTCAAAGCGTGAAAGAATTACACTCATGGTTCCAGATATGAATCTGAGAAGCATTACAGTGAAGGAATATGCATGGAAAAATGGTAGTAATGCTAGAGCCGTAAATTTTTGCTTATAAAGCTGTAACTCTATCACATTTTTTATAACTGTAATAAAATTTTTGTCTGTTAACATGACACCCTTGGGTAGTCCTGTAGTTCCACTTGAGCATAAAATTGCTGCAATATGATTATTCACATCAATCAAAGCAGCTCTAAATGCATTCATATCATCATCAGATATACTTGATATCGCTCTGCTCAAATTCAACTGTGTTATACTAGTATTGTGATGTTCAGTTAACATTAATATCTTTGGTGACCAGTATAAATTGTTAATTATATTTTTTATATTGCTGTATGCTATTGCAGAAATAAATATATACTTGGGCTTGGAAATGGCAAATGCATGTTTGAATTCTCTTTCTGAATACAGTGGGTTTAATGGATAGACTGTAGCACCCAAATAGAGTATAGCACATATAACAATACCAAATTCCACATTATTTTCACTGCATATGGCAATGACATCATTTGCTCTTATTCCTTCTCTCTGAAGGAAAATTGCCAACTTACGACTGGTGTTTAAGATGTATTCAAATGTTTGTTCCTTGCCTGTATGAGCATTTATCTGTTGAAAACATTGACTGCTATTACTTTTATATATATATATATATATATATATATATATATATATATATATATATATATAGATTAATATAAACTATTATATATAAGTTGCAATATTTAATAATATTTAAAAATATCAATTGAGTAAACTTCAGATTCATCAATACTTAAATAAAATGATAATGTATTGGCAAAGGATATAACATAAAAAAAAATAAAGTAATAAGCCAAATATGATTATTAACAATATAAAATAAAAAAAGGAATGTGTTCAATTCTCACACATATATGTATAATATATGAAAAAGACAAATTTATGAAAATGTTATTTCAGTCAGATAATGAGCAAAAAATTATACAATTATAAAAAATTAATATCAGATAAAAATTAATATCAAATAATGAGCAAAAAATTATGCAATTATAAAAAATTAATATATATAAACTTACTTGTGCCACAGAAGTACCATGCAGTGCTAATTGTTTTAATAATAATTGTCCCAATGATAAATCTTTCCATTCTGATGTCAAATTACCTTCATAAAAAATATTTTCTTTTTCTGACATGATTGATAAAGGAAGAAATCTATACTATCTTCCTATCGTTTAATATTAAAGAATTATTCAATATGAATTATGCAACTGTGTCTTGCTGAATGCACTTTAATGTAATGCAAAAATAATGGCGTTTAGAAAGACAACTCTAGTTGTTTTAGATAAGGCCAACCTATCTTCTTGCTGAGATAAGTTAATTGTTTTTTAAACAGCTGTTTATCTTTTCAAACAGCTAGTCATCATGACTATCTTTTAACTCCGCTATGATACACTTCTGGTCTGTTCTTTTTAGTTGCACTGCTGAACTAGTGCAATAAGTTCAAATGAGACAAATATATTTTTTCTCACTTTAACTTATGAACTCTAGTTCAGTAGTGCAGCTAAAAAGAACAAAGCACTTGAATACTTGAAATGAACTATACATATGTGTATATATATATGTATATATATAAATACACTTATAAAAAAAAAGAGGTAGAATAAAATAATAAAAAACTACTATATTCTAGACGAAAAAGCACTACATTCTACACGAAAAAGCACTATATTCAAGTGAACGCTTAAAATTTCTTTCAACTTATGAGTGTATTGTAAATTGCGAAATGCAAATTAAAGATTGGAAGTTGACCAATCAGAACAAAGCAAGACAAGATAGAAATTATTTAATTCGTCGAATCACTTTTTAATTTTTAAGCAGCAATCATCTAATATTGCAATTTATATTACTAGTTTAATATGATCTAAAACGGTCTTCGGGCCTTGCATTTTTAAACCAGCTTTTCACCAGATGGCATCGCGTACGCAGCGTGAGACGAAAGCTGTCCGCGCATGTGCGCGACGATCAAGAATCAAAACAAAGTCCATTTGACGTTGCATATGCTCCAGAATGTCAAATAAACCAATGTGATTGATCTCTCCGTCGCAGTGGAACACTTGCAGCGCTAAGCGCAAAAATCAAATATTCTACAAGACTTATTTTTTAATTAATAATGTATATCGAGTATTTTTACACTTACACAAAATATATTTTGCAATACGTAGTAGGTTTTTTGTCAAAACATAGAGTACATATTATGTAAAGCCATATATTTGATAAAAAATGTGTAAATAAGTACAAAGGTATATATTATAATTTGGCATGAATATTTCTAAAAGTGTGCTCATTGTTGAGATATGATGTAATGAACTCGGGAAAGTTTCTATGGTTGATAAGTTCCATGAATAGATTAAATGCCACAAGTATGTTTTCTCTAGCTGCATCATCTTTAGCATATCGTTCCATTATTTCGGCGAGTGTATGAGACGCGCATTCAAGAATGGATCGTCTAGTGATAATTTCACCAGCTCCATGCGGATCTTCTAGTTGCGCTCCGTGTCTGATCCACTGCCAGATCTGAGATCGAGAGATCTCTGCTGTTGCAGAGTCTTCCACGAAGCCTTTGTAGATGAAATGACCCTTACCGTTTAACCAATTAAAGATGAAAAGTATTCCTACGGATATATTGTGCATTAGACCTTTTGTTGTTACTCCTCCCACCGGTAACGTTAGTAAGTCCGCGACAGAAATTTCAGGATGCACGGTTAAGGTACAACCGACCGCGTTTTGCGAAGTGGATTCCCCATAATCGCTCCATAGTTTGTTGATATGAGGTACTAATTTTAAGTCGTATACTAGGAAACCGTCGATACCCATTTGAATTTCTGTCAACTTGGAACGATACACTTTGTGTACTATAGCCGAGGAAGTGTTCTGATCTTCAGATGGTAAGATTTCCGCTACCATCCCACCTGTAGCGTACGTGCCTCTCTTGTGACAAATCCATATAACCAACTTCATATAATTTTTCAAGAAGCATTTACTCATATTAACGTATTTTTCCCTATCAGGAATAAGATAATTCTTGTTAGCACCTAATTTGCTTATTATCGACGCAGAATAGTCCCAAATCCCACAATTCAAGCCAAGTGAATGGTCTCTCAACGCATACAGGATAAGCTCCATTTGAAAAACAGCAAGAATGTTCTCGATCAAAACGCAAGCCTTGATTGTACCGTAAGGTATCTCAAGTATCTGCTCGCTCCATGTAAAAATATTGTTCCATAGCATCGCTTCGCTTGCATCCTCCAGTTTCGACAAGTAGAAACACGGTCCTACCTCGTGTCGTAACAAATCGTGAGCGTGATGATAAATTAAAAGCGCGAAATCAAACAAAGGTCCTGGTACTTCTTTTCCATTGACGCTCATATTGTGCTCCATCATGTTCCACGCTCTGGGACGGAACATAAGAATCGGCCCTTTCGATATATGTGGCACGTTCGGCAAATGACCACGCATCGCTCGATAAACATTGTATAGGCCGGTAATTTGATTTCGCCAAGTCGGGCAATGACCGTCGTCGAAGTCGACTTGAATTCCTTGTACATCTGCGCGTAAAGCGCCGGAGAAGTGCTCCAAATCAGATGGACTGACATCGGCCAAGTCTAGATGTCGGTTACGCAACCGTTCGGCTGAAATAAAAAAAGATGGTTAACAAGAGAACTTCAAATAAAACCTGATAAATCATTTAAAAAATTCAAATAAAAGTTTAAATAGAAATATTTAAAAAATTATTAAATTACGATTAATGGAAGAGTCAAAGTAACATTGAAAACGAAGATAATACTTACAAACATTCGTTACTTTCCATTCTGCTCGCGCAACATCCGAAAAGGCTGGAAACTGTGGCAGCTGTCTTGTACGTTGTAATTCATATTTTCGACCAAGTCGTTCCGTATATAAGCGATCAATGTCATTCTCAAATCTTGTGATCAAACGAACTAAAAATTCAATAGCGCCGGGAGTGAGCAGAATATAAAACTGTTCCTCTAAATCTCGCGGTGGAGGAGTAAGGAACACATCTGCTTTCGTGAACGCCTTGATGTTTCCCTCTAATATCATTCGCTTTGTAGACATTTTTTCACACTTAAAACACAATGTTTTGAAAAGATTCGCAAAAGTTATCTCAGTGATAACAGAGATTTTCAACAACGCGATGTCAGATATTATGTCTATTATCTGCTGTAACACACGATTGATAAGAGGCTCGTACATCTGTGTGGGTAATTCTTACACGCCTTAACGAAGTCTCGTGCTATTCTCGGTAAGCATAGATGTTGCCGCACAGAGTGAATCGCACATCTAAAATGTCTTCAACTTAGGAACTTCAAAACATATCGCAGCGCAAGTAAAATATAGTTTAAAATCTGCAAATAAATATGACAAAACGCTCTCAAATATACATAACATAGTATAATTAAACTACTTGATAAGTACAACTATCGCAGCTGCGACTACAATAATAACAACAGTTGTTTCTTTCATTTCAATTTAAAAATGTACCCATAAAAAAAGGCTAATAAAATCTTTGGATAAATAATATTACCCACATTTTATAATCTATTCGATATGTCGTTAGCATTCTCCTTGCTGTTAGCAATTCGCGAGCCAAATTGGAAAGCTCTTTTGGGAAAATTAGCCGTGCTCTGGAAGCCGATGTTGCACGCTAACAAACGTAATAGTAACTTATCCCCCAATCCAGTCGGCATTCTTTCGGTTGGGTAGCACCTAATGACAATTTCATATTCCTTCATTATCATTGATTAGCTGAGGGAGAGGGGGGATTATTACTACTTTTTAGTTAAATTTACAAATATATTTACCTTTCCCATGGTTTCAGGTGTTGTACGTAATGTACTAGATTCTCATCCAGATACGGTAATCGAGGTTGTTTCCCATGATCAGAAACAACTCGGTCGTCCCGACCTAAATTCCTCTCGGAAATCCTAGCCAATTCGATGTTCAATTCTTGCACTAATGCGTCCCATCCTTTATGTCTTAATATAGTTCTGTGCCTCATATATCCACCGAACAGTTCGTCAGCGCCTATGCCCAAAAGTAATATCCTGCATGGCGACTCGTATGTTTCGTTACTTGGATAGAGAAGACCATTCGCACGGCTTGCGAACCACATGGCACACCCTAGGCTCTCGTCAAGAATTCTGCACAACGGGTGCAGCAAATCGCAGATTCGCGAAGCGCGATACGACTGTAGTTCTACTTGCGTGATATTACACTGAAACAAATATTACAATTAGAAGAAACGTTACCATTTTCCAAAGGAATAATCGAGTATGCTGGAAGTATATTGTGAATTTAGACATCGTACTTGTACAAAGTTCCACTTTCTGTTGGGACAAATTCGCAACAACTCGTTATACGTTTGTCGTCCAGTTTTCCTGTCTGGCACATCATATTTTTGTGTTACATTTTCTTTCTCGTCACTCGTATGACTTACGTTCTGGTTACTTACAGATTTTTCGAATGCAACATTAATAAGATCAATACTTTCATCCTCGGGAATGTGTTTGTCAGCTATCGCTGTTAAAATTGCCGAATCTAGACCGCCGGAGAACAATATGCCAATTTTTGAGTGAGTACAAGTAATATTGCCACCACTTAACACAACCTTTATGCAGTTTTTGCAGTAATTCGGTTTCTTTTTTACTCTGACTTTCACAGATTGATGCAAAAGTTCTGTCAGCCGTTCAACTCTTTCATTCACTTCTTGATTTTCCAATAAACACTGCAGTATCTTGTTAAAATCATTAGTGCAAGATATGTTTTCTAGATATTCCAAATCCTTTGGATCAGGATGCAGATGCAAATTGGTCAGTGATGAATAAGTGTTTAATATAGTTTTCCTAATACTAATATCTACATTTAAACTTGTCTCCAGTGCTTCAATAACATCTGTGAATCTTAAGTCTGGCTCTCTCCATGGATAGCATGCTAAGTTAATACATGAACTATTTAAATTCATTGCAAAGATACCTATAGCTGGTATCTCTATGATCCCTTTCATTTTTTTACTTGCAACTGAAGTCAGAGTTAATGAATTAACTTCATTATCTACTTTCAAAAGCAAACTGTGCCGCCCAATAATATCTCGTCCAAAGTATAATATGTTGCTCGACTTTTGATAGTATATTAAACTATAAGGGCCTTCAATCTTGCGAAGCACAGGTATGATATCTGTAGTTGATTCAAATTCACCCAGTACTGTAATTGTATCACAAACATCATCTTTTGCCTAAAATCAATGAGATCTCTATCAGAATTTGTTGTATAATTATATATATAATTAAAAGATAAATATATATTCATAAATATATTTGAAGGAAGCACAAGGCTGTATTGGAAATATTTGATAAATACACATACCAAACAACCTGAGAAAAGATCTCCATTCCAAAGTAGCAGATTACCATTGAGATCTAAACTTGGTTGTGTTGTTATATTTGGTCCTTGCATCCACAATACTGCACTAGCAAAATATCCTTGCCACTCATGATTTAACGATATGTGTTTATCTGCTAAATGATCAGGACCTCGTGTAGAAATTAGATCCTTACAAATGTTCCACTGAAACTAAGTATATTAAAATTTGCATTCCAAATTTACTTGGATTTTATATTTCATGATTTAATTACTATAATAATTGTTCATATAGTTATTTTTTATACCTGTTTAGAGCCTTCAGCGTCGTCTGTAGATCGATATATAGAACAAAATATTCCACACATTATGACGTCGATATGAAATCGAATTATTAGATTATAGAAATATCACTATGTATATTTTTTTTTGCCACCGTAAAACGTGAACGATGAACTTCATTAAGAAGATAACTGATGATACATCTTTAATTCAACGTTAGTATAGCTGCTTGTGCGTCGCCAGTGACATGTCAATAGGTTATGTGACTTTGCAGTTGCACGAATATATCTGATAGTACGTATTGTTACACAAAAATATTACAAATATAAAATCGATATATCATGAGAAACGTTTTGAGACATTAAAATCTCGCTGGCACATTATGATAAAACACAAGATTCAAATTCCGAAGTGTTTATAGCGTGATCACAACCAAAGAGTTTAAAGCTCGCTTCAGAGTCAATGCATAGCGAGACGGAGAATAGAATTTACCAATCAGACAATATTATTTTGCTTGCTTTACCCTGATTGGTCGAATTTCAATTTTCAATATGTGGTCTGAAACGAGCTTTAAGTTTTAATATTAATCAATTAATTATTAAAAAAATGGAGAAGGCACAATAGAAAAAAACCCCTAAATTAATTTAAAAAATTGTATCCAAAATAACTTGTTATTTATAATATTAATTGTAAAACTATCAAACCTTGATGACAAAGTGTAGACACTATGCTATTATTTTGTAGTATAGTTAACTATAAATTAAGTGTAGCAATATTTTTTCTCGATATAAGTTTTGCAATGCATATTCGATAGGAAAACATATCTCCTAAGAATTATTAAAAATCAAATTCTTTTATTGCATACGGGATGCAAAATTTATCGAAGAAAAATGTTACTACTTTTAATCAATCTACCTGGAGACTGAATCAGTCTACAGATTGTTAAAATGCATGAATATTTAGACTTTTCGTGTATGTTTTCTCTAAATATATCTATTTAGTCTAAAGAGAGGAGGGGAGAGAGAGAGACAGAGAGAGAGAGAGAGAGAGAGAGAGAGAGAGACAGAGGCGCTTATGATGTTGAGCGACGAACGGAATACTAATTGCAAGGGTTACACGACGTGATAGTGTCAAACGCTGACGACTGACTGTTAGTAGTTACTCACAAGGTTGCTTATTTCTTTACACTACAGCGGCGACACATAAATATCTAAGCGAGATAGGTTTATTTGGGAAGTGCCCATCTGCCGAATGTTTAAGCACGATTAGCACGCTCTCCAAAATAGACCGACTTAATCTAATCAAGATAACAGTAGAATCCCTCAGGAGAGAGATCAAAGTGTTAACTCATTTATTTAGTTAATTTCCAAATAAACGAAAAGCGTGTTCGCTATGTTCGACGCGTTCATACTTTCAGGTATCGATAGTACTACGACGGAATATCGAGCTAGACAACCCGAAAACAAAGTATCTACGCGCCAATAAAGGCGGTTTACGTTACAACGAAATTTCAGCAATGGCATATGCAAACCAGTTAATAATTCGTGGAGAGGATCTGTTATTCGAGTACGTGTATCTCCAGGGTGCTGGTATCCGTGTGCGACGGCTGTAGGTGGTAGCGGAGGAGTAGCACACAGATGACATAGTATTGGTGAGATCGTTGTCCGTGGCCGTTGCGAGAGACCGGCAGAAAGTGGGAGAGCGACAGGGACAGAGGCGAAGTCTGAAAGAATAAGAGGAACGTGGAGGTGGTGGTGCAGGGAGGAGGAGGTCGTAAGGGATCGGCGCTTCGGGCAACTTCAGTCGGTGCGTGCGAGCGGGTCAGGTCGGACGTTCGTTCGTTGTGTCTGCGCGGGCGTCGCTCGTCTCGTCTTCGCGGTCACTACGTTTCCCGACGCATCGTCTTCTCTCGCCCCTCGGGCTTCTTCCTAATCGTCGACATCGCGGCGAATGACCGTCGACGCTCCGACCTCGTGGGGGAACAGTACGGCGACAGTGCGACGGAAGAGGAGATTCCCGATCGGCGCGTTTCTTCTCGTCGAGATTCATTCGTTCGTCCGTTCGTTCGTTCGTTCCTTCGCGCGCCCACTCGGCATCCTCTTCTAGACGATATTCTCTCCTTCGCTCCTCCAATTGCGCGATTCGAGGTAAGTGTCTCTCCTCTGTGCACGCGCGAAACATCGCGATTCCGACGCGTCGACGTCCAAGAGGCTCAAGACTGCAAGAAACGAGAAAGTTATCGCGCGCATAGATATGGGGCGAGTTTGAATTTCGGGGCGACAATCTTGGACGAAGATCGTCGCCGCCGAGGCGGCGTCGCGACAGATTCCACCAAGTGTCGCACTGAATGTACGTGTGTGTATGTATGTATGTATGTGCACCACCTCCTCTTTTGAGTCCGACTCGTGCCCGTGAAAATGAGTTACCGTTGGCATCGACGCGTTACGCAATATTTAAATCTGTATTTTTAGGCTTAGGGTCTGTGTGCCGCGAACGCGCGCGCGCATACGCATACGCGTCGCGCAATTCACTTCCAAAGTGTGACTCGAATCTTGTATCGTTGAAATTGCATAGATTACGCGGCGCGAAGCGACGGAAAACTCTATGATATCTTTTATACACGTTCACACGTTTGCAGAACACGATTCGAACATTATCTGACAAATTTCCAAATGTATTTGATGTCCAATAGGAAAACCTGTCGTTTGAGCATTATTCAATAACCAATACTCTTTGAGTATTCTAAACGAGTACTCTAAACGAGTGCACGCAGACCGGCCTTAATACATGGCTTTAATACATGAAGTTACTTCATTTTAGAGACCAAAGATTGGCTTTTAAGACAATTATGTCTCTAGTCAATAATACACACAAAAGAAGACTCCATTTTAAAGCTTCCTGTTAAGATATATTATTCGCTTTAGAAAGACGTAACCTGATGGTTGAGGCTATTGTCTGTGGTCTGTTATGTGTTCTGTTCGCTCAACTGTTCTCGCGATCTTTTCTTTCTTTTTCAATGGCGTGGCACGAGCATTTTCTACGCGAGACACCGTCAGATATATGTCGCGGGTCGAATTATCGGTTGTTGACGCCCGTGAGATTGTTTACATTGCACGAAAGTTCGGAGTCGCGCACTCGCGTAGCGTATCTGATCAGGCAGGTGGAAGGACAGAGGCCGGTGTGTAAATTTACATTCGGCGTTTAAGATGCGCACTCCTGACGCTGTGTAATTTGAAAATGCACACTACCGGTTTCCACCTAGTTCCACTCCTCGTCTCTCATTCGGTCTTGCCTGCTGCGTGTGTGCGCGCACACACAGCGTTAAGCTCAGTTCATGGTATCCGCATAGAAGTCGGCGGAGTCGCGTCGAATATCGTCTTCATTTACACGATTAGGATAAAATAAAATACCCAATAATTGACGTTCTCCCTAGTCATTGACACTCTACAAAAACTCTTAATTTTTTTACGACCAGTATTGCAGTTAAACTTCTTGTTTGCGCTCCATGGTTTTAAAAAAGTATCTTTTAATTAACTTCATAGTAAGACTATGGACAAATGCCGTGAGTCGTGAGAAAAAACTAGGTTTTTCTAGAGTATCAATGACTATAAAGGAGTCATGTCACAATAATTGGGTGTTTTATCTTAATCGACGATCCACATTGTCGGGAAGAGAATCGCCGATCGGAAGCGCTCATGACGAACGTAGGACAACGCAAACACGATCGTGAGTCGTTCGTTAAATTTCAGTTAACTACCGTGAAGTGATCGTCTGCGCGTTCTAAAAATAAGACGATTAATGAGAAGGCAATTCTTTGGGTACGATTGGTATAGCCGATCCTACCTATTCGCATTACTTTTTTCTTCTTGTAAGCAGCACTCCTTTCAGCAATAACTGATTGAATTCTTCGGATAACTCACTGGACCGGTATACGGGCGCTCGAAAGTATTAATGAAGCTCCGCTTCATCGTCCGACGATTTATTGTATTGCCGATCCATCTTCCGCCGTGCGAATAGTATGAATTGAGTTTTACACGGCGAGGCGTATTCACAAGGAACGCGACGGCCAGCGTTAATTTTCCATTCCGTGGCATTGCAAAGCGACGTGACGACGTTCATCGTTGTTCTTATAGTATCCGTCCGAGAGGAAGAATGTTTCGGCACGATAGTATAAAACCAAACTGTAACGTAATTCAGATCTAGTTAAATTAACATTTATCTCAATATATAATCGAAAACATCGCAAAAAATCACTCTCGTGATGAGTATGTATTGTCATAACAATCACAAAAAACGTCGGTTTCTTGTCTATGTTTATATTTTTTACACACACTCTCTCTCTCTCTTTATATATATATATATATGTGTGTGTGTGTGTGTGTGTGTAGAAAGAGAGAGAGAGAGAGAGAGAGAGAGAGAGAGAGAGAGAGA